GTCTCTCCAAAAGGACCCACTGATTGTCCGTGACTGTTTATATTCACAGCTAGCCAATAAATAATATTGGGCTTTCCGCTATCCGCAACCTGTGGACACGTCCGTTAACATTCAGCTCTGCTCCTCATATGCGGCCTTTAATAAGCATGCCCTGTAGCGGACCGTCAGCGGGTTTTGGGGATAATCACGGAGGAAATAGCTGGGTACTTATGATCCCAGTTTTAGATTAGTTCCCTCCTAAAGTGATTTCATTAACGCTGGAATGTTAGGCGACATCGTGGCCATTAGTGTTTCGCCGTTTGTAATCAGGGTACTGACGTGTGATCCCAAGATACTAAAAGAGAATATGGCGCCCAAACCTTATGTTTTAAGTCATTTTCCACCTTCATAACACTGAGGTGTTAAACGATCTCGTGGTGATTAGTGGCTCACCATTTACAGTCAGATCCGTTGTGTGCATTGGGGACCAAATTTGGTACGAAAAAAATAAATTTTCAATTTGGTTCGATGGTTAAACATTTCGATCCATTTGCATTCTACTATTTTAGGAGAATTCCGTTTGAATTTTCAATGTTGGGTCGAAAATCGGATTTTCGTATTTTTAACGGACATTTTGTATTCTTTCTTGATAGCTGGGAACCTCAACCATACGGTCAACCTCAAATCGCCGCGTTACAAATAACCATATGGACAAAACTCACCTCTCAAAGCAATGCAAAAAAACGACCTATTCCTTTAGCTGATGTTGATGTCATTCTTAGTCTCGAAATTTACAATTGGCCCCAAATTAACCTGATAATTGCGAACTCTTTTACAGACAGTTCTTTTGATCCTTCCCATTACACTTGATTGCATTACGGCGAGCCAGGAGAGACAGACTGATCTTTTCTTCAATTTAATAACAGCCAAATCCCCCAAGCTGCTGACCGGACGAATGTAAGTGGAAATCGTGGATAACAGTTATAACGGCGATCTCTACAAGTCCCGAATAGGGGTTTGCCTTTTATTTGATAGCGCTTGCAACGACTACCGCCTTAAACTATCAATTTCCCTTCGTTTCCACGATAGAGGGGTCTACGATCCGAAACGACCCGAATCTTACTCGGCCAACGTCTGTCACCTCAGCCTATTGTGTAAAAGCAAAAGGGCTGCTACAACAACAACAACATCCATTTCCCTTGACCTTCGTTATAAGCGACTGTATTTCATTCCCATTTATTTCACTATGTCCTGGCACCCAACAAGGAGAAACGAGTCGTCGTATGTCATGCAGAGGAACTTTAAAGTCATGAACCGCATTTGCATTTATCAACGTGATTTGATTGCCTGGCTACCAAGTTATAAAGTCAGCGGTCCTAGGTTGTTAGCAGTAAGTTCTTTGAATATTTCATTCGCTGAGTTATTTATGGTCTAACAAGATTATCTATCAGGATACTATTCCAAGAAATAAGAACACTACACCAAAGTGCCAGGTTCTACACGTTCCTTGGAACCTAACAAAAATGTCGGGTGGTTAGAGATTTAGAATTTTTCTCTCAAACACCTCAAGAGCTGCCTCATCTGCTTGCGCCAGTATCTATGCTTCAGATCCATATAGCAGCACGGGAAGTATCAACGTCTTGTAGAATGTGATTGTCAATTTGTTCAAATGTGGCCGTTACCGCTCGCAATGTTCAACCCATTATATTGATGTCATCGGTATAGGCGAGTGACATGTGTGATTTGGTGTAATCAGCTGGTGCTGATTGTTTGTGCTAATCAGCTGGTGCATGCTGCTGACCAGCATCTGACCACCAGTCTTGAATAGTTCAGCTGGTAACCCATCGGCACCTGCTGGTTTATTATCCTTCAGCCGATTGATTGCTTTTCTGATGCCGTCATCTTTTATTGGTTCTGGCGTATCCTCTTCACCGCTACCAGAAGTTTTTCGAAATGTTCCTTCCAGATCCTCAGCACGCTGCCTGTATCTGTCACCTGGTTTCCTTCTTCATCCCTACATGAGGATGTGCTGCACCAAAGCCTTTGGTTTGGTTGTTTACTCGGTGGTAAATTTCCGGACTTCGTTCTGACTCCTGTACATCTCGTTTTGCTACCGTTACCGTTTTTCTTGTTCTTTCTTCTTTTTTTCTGAGAATACGTTTCTCCTCTCTCCTTTTCTCCCGATAATTCTCCATCACATTACGTGTTGTTACTGTGTACCTGGCTGCCCTATACGCTGCGTTTTTCACATCAGTAGCATTACGACACACCTGATCGTAGTATGTGTTTCTTGATGGCGGTCTTTGGTACCCAAGTGTTACCAAAGTGCGAACCTTGGCTGCCACAGGGTAACGGTTCGAATCGATATTCGCTCCTCGGATCGATTGAACGTCTTAAACGCTGGATGATTGCCTTCCATATATCACAACATGATCGATTTGATTTATCGTTGTTCGATCGGGAGAAATCCAAATGGCCTTGTGTATATCGATATGCTTGAATCTGGTGCTGCTAACTACCTGTTGTGTTTGCAGCTTTTCGACGTCGAGTTTCCGTGTTGTGTTAGATCGCACATTTGCTGCTACATAAAAACGTGTGCGAACTTTGGCTACCACAGGGTAACGGTAATTGAACGTCTTAAACACTGAAATCTATCACAACATGATCGGATTTCCTTGTGAATATGGCCTTGTGTATATCGATATGCTTGAATCTGGTGCTGCTAACTACCATATTTTTTGCTGCCGCGAAGTCAATCAACCTCATGCCGTTGTCTGATGTTTCTTCATGGAGACTGCATTTTTAGAAGAATTTTGTTTTCATACGGATTATAGCAATTCGCTCATCTACTGGAGTGAATATGGAGACGATGTCATTCTCCTGTTAACCGTAAATCCACGGCCAAATTCATGTCTCGTTTCATGGCAGCTATAATACAGGACGTAATCATCTGATATTTACTTACACCAGTCCCTTTCCATCGCATTTCCTGTAAGGCAATAATATCGGATTTGTACTTCTTGAATATATCCACCAAAGCGAAAACTGCGCAGACTCGCAGATCTTGGTCCTTTATGTACCAAATTTAGTACAGTTTAGAACATATTAGTACAAATTCCCAAAACTACCTACATACCTCAATTCTAAACTATAACAGTAATCTTAAATTCAATTTTTTTACTATTCCAGCTCTAAATCCAAATTGCAACAAATTTAGTACCATTTAGTACATAAAGGTACAAATTTCCAAAACTACATCTATACCCCCAACTGCGAAAACTGCGCAGACTCGCAGATCTTGGTCCTTTAGTAAGAGTAAAAGGGGGTTTCCGAGTGTGGGCAACTAACCCCACGCATCAACCCATTTTTTATAGTTCTTATGGGTGAACTCGCATCACATATAAGTTCATTATTTTAACGGGTGATGTAAATAGTTACCCCAGGTGACACCGCGGGGAGGTCAGTGTCCACAATTGAGATGAAAGCCTGGGCTTCGCCAAGTTAAAGTCAAGCTGAGCCGTTACTTGGTATCCATCATTCCCTACTATTAATCCTAATAAAATCAGGAAATCCCAACAGACCTACATTAGAGGCAAATCAGTTGACACTGCCTTACTTGATGTGGTCGGGCTCATCGCGAAGAATATGGAGACCTCCGGTTATACATTTGCTGCGTGCCTCGATATTGAAGGAGCCTTCAACAATGTGAAATTGGAAGCTATCCATTTTGCTCTCGAACTAATTAGGTCATGAGCTATAGGGAATACCAATACTATATACAATTTTTAAATTAAATACAACAATTTTTATAAATTTAATAACAATTTGTTTTATTATTATTATCATCATTATATTTACATTTTAAACACTTTCTTACTTTGTTTTTCTTTGCTTTATATTATATACTATCATACACAGTTACATAGTAATAATAAAAAAAATCATATTTTTTTAGCAATCACAATTATATAATAGACAATATTTTCACTTCTTTTTCGAAATATATAGATAGGTTATGTAGAAGTAATAGTAGTAGTTTTTGTAGTAGTAGTTGTAGCAGTAATAGTTTGCTGTTGTTGTTGATGTCGAGAACATAATTTAATTATTTATAAATAATATATAAGTCATATTACTTATTGTTTGCTTTGTTTAATGGCCAATAATAAATCACTACAAATTTTATTAATTTTCTAAATCGGCAATAAATTCTTAGAATTTCGAAAATATCAATGTAAGTCTATATGTACTCATATATATATATATATATATATATATATATATGTGTAGATGTGTTATATGCATGTGTAAATTCATGACATGAAAAAACTCTTTCACAACGTTTTGGTTTTCTTTTGGATAAGTTCTTATTTGATAATCGCGTTATTTTATTTATTTGATTTTGTTTTTTGTGGTGTAAAATTTTCTTTTTACAGAAATACAAAAAAGGATATTTTCAAATATTATTGTCTCACATTGTGCGTGTGGCTGAAAGGATGTTTGTTTTGAAGTGTGTGAAAGATGTTGGGTGGGTGTGATATAAAGAAGACCAATTGGGTGAGGGGTAACAATGGCTACAAGAAAAACTGGGACACGAAATTGGAAAAACAATATTTACAATAAAAGAAATTGTATCTAAAAAGGGGAAACAGATTACAAAAGATGTGAAACAAAAGCCTATTTATGCAAGGTTTCTTTTTCGTCTAACTAAAATATTTTATAAATATTTTTTGTTAGATTAAAAAAATTATAAAAAATGTAAAGAAAGCAATTTAATTGACTAAATAAAGTGGAGAAGAACTAGTATTATTTTTCACAAAAGAGAACTTTCAAAGTTTCTTTATGTAGTAATTGTTTTTTTTTACTAAGGTATTGTTTTTTGTGGCTTAAAACTAATAAATCAACAACAAAAATTACAATAATAATATTAATAGTTTTTTGGGGGGAGGGCAAAAAATATAAACTTTATGGCGGACATAGTACAGGGGTATTTTTTGCAGGGGTATTTTTTGCATTATCGATTTTTAATGGCTGCCACTGCTCTCCCGTCCCCGTTTCAAATGAAACAAATCGCGCAGCAATTCTTTAATGAAATCATATGTGGAGAAACTAATGCCCACCGCAATGGGTCCCTTTATCCAGTTCATACTTAAACCCTTATAAAAGCCGTTTTTAATACCTTCCTCCCTGAAATGAAAACATTTACATTTATTTAATTGTATATTATTAAATGAAATTTGTTGTATATTTTCTTACCTATAAATGGTCTTAAGCGTCACAAATATACTGGGATATTTGTTATGTCCGTCTTTGGTAACACCCATTGTTTGCATACGTCTTCGCACAATGTCCAATGGATAGCTAGATGTTTGGCCAACAGCACCAGCTGCTGCACCAAATGCCAGTGATGTCAGAGTATTTAGTTTACTATTACCAGTCATTTCTGCAAGAATATAAAGTAAAAAAATAAATATATTGATATTAGAAATATATTATTAAATATCCATATCCAAATTTAATACCAGTTAGTACACATTAATATAGATTTCCATAGCTACCTATCTTAATAATCATAAGTACGAATTTGCAAAACTTCATCTCAATCGGTTCACCTAAGTCCAAATTGTATCAAATTTAGTACCATCTAGTACACATAAGTACAAATGTCCAAAACTACCTACGTATCCCAATAAAAAATCAAAATATGGATCCTAACTCCAAATTTTAGGATTCTAGCTCTATCGATTCTCCTAAATTATGTTGGGATATTGTAACAAATTTAGTGCCGTTTAGTACACATAAGTACAACTTCCCAAAACTACCTACATACATCAATTCTAAACTATAACAGTAATCTTAAATTCAATTTTTTTACTATTCCAGCTCTAAATCCAAATTGTAACAAATTTAGTACCATTTAGTACCTAAAGGTACAAATTTCCAAAACTACATCTATACCCCCAATCCTAAACTCAAACAATAATCTTTTTTTCAAAATGTCAGTGTTCCAGCTCTATCGTGTACCAAATATAGTACCATTTAGTACATTTCGTACATATGTGCAATTTTCCAAAACTACCTACATATCGCTATCCTAAACTCCGACGGTAATGATAGTTTAAAATTTCAGAATTCTAGCTCCATCCGTATCTCCATAGTCAAATTGTACCAAATTTAGTACAGTTTCGTATTTTTCAAAACCACCTCGTTATATCGGCACTACTTCTCAACATTAATTCGCATTCCAAATGTCAAGTTTTCAGTTCTATCCATTCACATGCTACGAAATTTTACCAAATTTAGTATTTTTCGGATACGAATAGTCCGAGTGTCCAAATGTGACCTTTCCATCAGCGACCCTCATTTCAAATTTAAGTGTTCTAGTTCCACCAGTTCGCTAAATGCAAATGGTACCACATTTAGTACGGCACGAAAACGTTTTAGTACGAATTTCCAAAAACCCGATTTGGTCCAAATCGGACATTTCTTTCGCCTAATATTGAATTAAAAAAAATACCCTTTATGGGGGAGATACCAGAAGGAGTAGTCCCATATTCGGACTTGATCTAGGTTTGGTAAAGATAATAAGTTATGCAATGTTTGGTCTAAATCAGACATTCCTTTCGAATAATGTGTATTGAATTTATATACATTGGTAAATTTAGCCCTTTGTGGGGCTAAATCACTTATGTCCTCACGCAATCACTTATGTCCTCATTTGCATCAAAGTTGACAAAACTTTTTGTTTGGACGTTTTGCTCTATACAAAAATTTGGAAGCCAAGATTTTTAATTGTGGAAATACGGAATCTGTCGATTTTAATAAAGAAAATTAATAAGTTGATGTACAGATTTCATCGCGTTCGTTGACGTCCGATGGAATGACGTCTTGGATGTCATCACGATAGCGCCTGAAGTCCTGACGAATGTGTCGCGGAGGTGTGTCTGCCATCAATGTGTGATGGTTGGGATGACACGGCAGATAGCATGCCAGCAGGATCTGCCTTGCGATTTTTGGATTTTTGGCCACGGAACTCAACGAGGGACTGCCGCCTATTTCTGTAGTTTGCAAGCCAACGCTTGATATCACTTAAAAGGGTGGAATATGTGATGTCGGATATCAGCTCGGAATGATCGACGGTATCAAACGCCCTGGACATATCTAAGGCTGCCACAATGGTCCGTTCAGGTTGTCGTCGCCGATTGAGGCCATTCGCAATCTTGGTAGTAATTTTTTGCAAAGCCTTCGTTTTGCTATACGATTCTCCGAAATTGTGTTTTTGGGTAGCAAGAACGAAATTTTGTTTCAGGGACGGAAACAATAGACACTCTAAAACCTTGGCTACTGGTGAAAGAAGAGAAACCGAGTGGTAGGATTCCCCATTAGTAGCGGATTTATCAGGTTTTAGAATTGGAACAATCCGGCCAACTTTCAACCAGATGGCCTCTTAATTGTAAACCATAGCTGCTTGGAATTTATATTGCAGTGGTTAAGGTGTTCCAAACATTTCGAGCGCCTGTGCTCAAGGACTTGAGCATCTATTTCATCACTTAGCTGCGGGATTCTGTCATAAGCGGAGCTTTCGGCACCGAGTTTTTCGCGTTGCTGTGCCAATCTGGATGCCCTGAATGGATAGTTGGGTCTCATTAGAGGAATTCTGCAGGAAAGAAGCTTTTAGAATGTTTTCACGGAATATCATCTCACCCTTTCTGTCACCGCCGTATGACTTAAGGAGTCCTCAATGAATTTTGCGAAGCCGTGCTATTTGGCTTTATTATAATTCATGGAATTACGCTGATCGGTCTCCACGAAATCCTGGATTTCTATACATTGGCCAGAATGGGAATATGGTCTGAATTTAAAGCGACCTTGGTTTGCCAGAAAGTGTACGGAAGAAGATATGGACTTACGATGGAAATGTCCGGAGAGCTCGAACTCCTGACAGTGACTCTGGTAGAGGATTCCTCATTTATGGAAACTAAATCGGACTATCTATTTGCAATAAGAATACATCGAGGACCATTAGGAAGTTTAGAAAGCCTATCTCATGATGTGAGCTGAAATCGCCAAGAACAATTTTATTATCTCCCTGAAGCAGATGGATGATGATTGGATGATAACTGGCCCCAATGCTGTTGATGGGTGGACAATTTCAATTTCAGAATCGTCAGAATGAACAGTAATGCTCAAAACCTTCAATAAAAGAATCAGAGAGAGTCCGCGAGACCGCAAACCCCCACAGATGGAGTTATTCGGCGAACGGAAAACGCTGGTGTCTGGATGGGAAGTTTTAACCATTCGATGTTGGAGTTGAATGACTAGAAGGAGTGCTAGTCGGAACTCTTAATGAATGGCTAGTAGAATAACGGAAAACTAGACAGGATGCTAACAGCAGAACTGAAGGAAGATCTAGTAAAATAACTAGCTCTGAAACTAGTATTCACACTAATAGCAGTACTACCAGATGAAAAGTTAGACGGAGTGCTAGCTGGAAGGACTCAACTGGATTCTAGCGGATATTTGCTGGATTATTAATGCAGCAATCGCCTACTAAGCCGGAATTCCAATTCCTGTGTGAATGCAAGGTGGTACATCTTTTCATATGGCATCAGTTACTGCAACCATTGCACCTTACAGATGTTAGAGTTCTCCGTAAAGCTTTCGATTTTAAAATACCATTATAAGCAACTGTGGATATAGAAGGCCTATGTATATGATTTATATATATATATATTTCAGTAAAATTAAAATAAACCAATTAATTATGTTCCCGCCGCTCAAACTTACCCGTGTATTCACGTTTCAGTGTTTCGTAGGTGAAAAATGATGTGCCAGCATATGGTATAACACCCAAAACAGTTGCCCAATAACCTCTATACAGCGTGCGTGGTCCTTCTTCTATCCATATTTTAACAAATACTTGACGCAATGTTCTAAAGACAATAGCAACAAAGAGATTAAACACATTATCATGGGAATACAATATGTATAATGGGATGTGGACATTTACTTGTAGCCTGTGTATTTGTCCGTAACAGCCATGCGAGCTCTGGCTAAATCCAATGGATAGGTCAAGGACTGTGATGTAATACCTGCCAAAGAGCCAGCAATAAATCGTCGTGCTTTGGTGCTAAACAAATAGAAGAAATGCATTTGTATTAAATAAGTGCAAGAAGATATTGCAAATATGATGAAGTCAGTAAAAAGTAGGGCGATATACATTTGTAAGATAGTTTTTTGCTAAACCTACTCTGTGCCATCTTTGTCGACAGATAATATTTTACGCCATTGTTCGTGAGCGGTAAACTGTATAGCAGCATAAGGCACAATGCGAGCCATCGTTGCGGAATTGCCACGCCATAATGCCAGGACACCCTCTCTGGCATAGGTCTGTTTGAGGAACACAATGGCACCGTTTAGGGTATAGCGAACAGATTTGCTAAAAGGAATAAAAGAGAAATATTAATAAAGAGTTTAAGAAAATGTTGATCACTTACTTTATTTGAAAATTAATTTTCGTTCTATCCAAGGGTGCAATAACTGTTTTGGCCAAGGCACCAGCCGCCGCACCCGCCGTCAGGCTCATAATGACGGCATCAAAATTTGTACTAGCTGCAAAAACAAAATCCTCGTCATTTCCGAAATCTTCAGTGTTGGCATTAATCCAAATCAGGACACTTGCTACTTACCCTTAACATCTTTTGTTTTTGCAATGACATCTTCGGAACTTGTAAATGTTGTTGTATCGTTTAGTTTGGAGGATGTGTTTGTTGTTGCATTGCTGGTGGTAGTGGCATTTAAATTGGCATTGGTGGTAACTGTTACGGCGGCGGCTGCTGTTGTCGTTAGTTGACCACTAGTAGTCTTAATGGGCATCGCAATATTTGGTTTCTCCAAAAGATGGCTCATTGGAGACTGAAAATGAAAGAAAGAGAAATATGGAATTATTAAATGGGTATAGATTACATAAAATGAGGAAAACAGAAAATTACAAAAAATGTTGCCTACTTTTTAGCGCAAATAATACAATTAAGGGAATAATTTTGGCGGGTGGAATTGTATTCAAGCTGGATAGGGCTGGATTTCAGAATATAAGATGGAGTGTATATCAAAAATTTCAATCAAATTGCAACACCTCGAAATAATGTCGGGGATACCAGGGGTTAGGTATGCCTGTTCATCTGTATGTTAAAATTACGATAGAGCTCACTTTGAAATGTTACACATACATCTTTTAAAGACCACATATGGTATATTTTAATGCGATTTAAGTACAAACAATTGTTGTAATAAATTACTATCAACCCATTAGATTTGAAATATGATGAACATCATCGTTCTGAAAAGTGCATTGCTACAACTTGAATGCATTTTCATTATCGGAGGAGGACTGTTAGTGTGTAGCAGACAATTACGCTCAATTTAATCTGACAAATGTAGACATCACGATGACATCAAAATATCGCTGCTGCTGTCGCTGCGGTTCGCGATTTGCAATTGTAAACAACAACTTTGAAAAACGGTCGGTGTCGAATCGAAATTTACAATTATGCAAATTATTATTTAAATTTGTTAAACAATGTAAATGTTTAATTCAGGTATGGATGTCACGAAAAAAAAATAACAACAACAAAATGTGTTAATTAATATTCTGAACATAGTACTTGTGGAGTGGAACTAAATGCTTGGATTTTAAATACGTTATTTGGTGTTAATTAAAAATTCTATTGCAATATATTTGGAAAATGATGTTTCAAAACCAAGGCGTGGATTTTTTAAAGAATATTTTTCCCAACGCTTTAAACCAAGGCGTGGATTTTTTAAAGAATATTTTTCCAAGGCTTTAAACCAAGGCGTGGATTTTTTAAAGAAAAATTTTCCAAAACTTTAAACCAAGGCGTGGATTTTTTAAAGAATATTTTTCCCAAGGCTTTAAACCACGGCGTGGATTTTTTAGAGAATATTTTTCCCAAGGCTTTAAACCAAGGCGTGGATTTTTTAAAGAATATTTTTCCAAGGCTTTAAACCAAGGCGTGGATTTTTTAAAGAATATTTTTTCAAGGTTTAAACCAAGGCGTGAATTTTTTAAAGAATATTTTTCAAGGCTTTAACCAGGGCGTGGATTTTTTAAAGAATATTTTTTCAAGGCTTTAACCAGGGCGTGAATTTTTTAAAGAATATTTTTCCAAGGCTTTAAACCAAGGCGTGGATTTTTTAAAGAATATTTTTCCAAGGCTTAAAACCAAGGCGTGGATTTTTTAAAGAATATATTTGCAAATATACATTTTTGCTAAATTCCAAAAAAAAAAAATCATGTAACATTACCATTTAAGCATATCCCACGCTACACGCTTTAAAGAGGCTGGTTTATTTGTTATCCAATTAACAAATTTTGCTGTGTTTTTGTTGTTGTTTTGCCTAAATAAAAACAATTTTAAAGTTTACTTGTTGAAAAAGCGTTACTCTTCAATTAGAGGTACTGCGAAATTGAGGTGAGGAATTATCTTGAGATAGCGTGCTCGTAGAGGTGATTGAGTGAGTAAATAAATAAATCACTATATAAGACGATCGACACACACGATCATCATGCAGAAGCGCCGTAACAAAGAAATTATAGAAAATCCAAAGGTTAGTTATTGTTGGAAATGCATGCGATTATTTTTCATTTCTTTTTTTTAATTCGCCTGCTTTGTGAATAATCAATTTATTGTGAAAAGGTTCAATACTATTGGATTATTGATAACGCCGTTGTTAATTATCGCACGAAGAAAGTCAATAATAAAATTTTCTTTAATGAATTTTTATGACAATTATTGCAAAGTCTTAAAAGAAATAAAGAACTGAGGTGAATTCACTTTTGTCGAAGGTCCAAAATATAGCAAAATTTTATTGGAAAATTTTAAATTTTTTCCCAAAAATGATCAATGCAACATAAAAAAGAAGGATTTTATTTTACTCCACATTGTTGAAACAATTAATCTTTATGCATATAAATCTGCGTATATACTTAGATGTCTGTTGGAATATATACATAAATATTTTGTTTTTATTAAAAATAAATTAAAAAGTTTTACGCACGTGAGAGTTTATTTTTAGTATGTATTAGGATTGTGACACCTTCTATATGCGATTTGTATGTACGTTTGTCAATCTATCTTTAGTTCTTAATGCGGGGGAGAAATTACAAAAAAAGAACATATTTTTTTCTGCGGTATATTTTGGCCAAGAGCCAACCAAAAATTGTTTCCCAATAGGACAGGGGAAAGATATAGAATTTGGTGAATTGTCATTTCAATTTTCTTAAATTTCAAAAAGAATGTCTCTGTGCTTTTCTTTCAATTGCATATTTACAATAGCCACAACCAAAGAAATCCATTTTTTTATGAACTATGGGACATTATTTAACATGCCGATTTGGGGCAATATGCACCGTTTTGTAGTTGTAGCAGCCCTATTGCTTTTACATAATCGACTGAGATGACAGACGTTGACCGAGTATAACTCGGATCGTAGACCCCTCTGTCGTGAAAACGACCGTTTTGTTGTATGCTTTGTTGCCATTTTAAAGGTAACTTCATAATGCCTCTCTCAAAGAACTCCTGCTCTCTATTTGCAAGAAGCTATAGTAGTCGATTTTCACAATGCTTCCTAGATACCAATTTTTATCCTTAAAGAAATTTTGCAAAGCTGGAAAAATATGCTAATCGATGGGTGCGTCCAAGTCCGGACTGTATGGCGGATGCATTAAAACTTGAAGTTTCTTGCGAGTCACTGTAAACGTGTATGGCCTAGCGTTGTCCTGGTGGAACGCGACACCTCTCCTGTTCGTCAATTCTGGCCGTTCTGGGCAATTGTAAATGGTTAAAAATAGTTTTATGGTCGATTTTTAGCTCCTGCCAACTTGCCGGTCAACTTCGATCATTTCTCCGATTTTATCGACATGTTCGTCGACCAGCCTACCTGTAACTCACAACTGAATCCTGTAACTCACAACTGAATGCACCTAACAAAAAACAGCAAAACAATTATTTTACTGCGAAATGTCACTCTTCCAACGAGCATAAATCTGATTGATAATATAAATTGTTTGGTCGATACTTTACTTTCTTTTTCCCAACCTAAAAAGTACAAAAAAGCTTATGGCTATTGTGGCGTATACATGGCGACAATATGTATACGCACTGAGTGTCTGTGCTACATGGGGTAGCAATGTTTGACACCTGTTGATGTACAGGAGCCAAAATATCAAATTAGAGCCAATTAGTTTGAAAACCTATTCATAATCCACAAAATACCGAATGCGGGGTAGCTATGTTTTTCACTTTTAGAATAAACTTTAATAAACCGCACTTATTTTTTTATATTTAGACATAATTTTCAAAATACCGCAATCGAATTTTTAATTAACACCAAGTAACAATTTCAAATGCAATTTTTCTCCACAAGTACCCTATGCGGAAAATTAATTAACACAATTGTTTTGTTATTATTATTTTCTGCGTGCTTTGCCATCGATACCTGAATATTGAATAAAGAATGTAAATAAAAACAAAATAATTTGAATAATTAGCAAAGCTGAATGCTATCGGACGCGTCCACAGGTTGCGGATAGTGGAAAGCCCAACACCATTCGTTGGGTAACTGTTAATAACCAATAAACAGTCGCGGACAATCAGCGGGCTCAGGGGGAGAGTCTCGGAGGAAATGACCGAGTGCCAATGATCCCTGAGTCGACGAGGCGAGAATGGCGCCCCCTCCCATATATCCATCTCAAGGTTTGGGACACTACCTTCTTAAAGTGTCTCCCCTAACGCTGGGGTGTCATGCGACCTCGTGCCTATCAGCGTTCCACGGTTTGCAGTCAGGGTACCGACTGTATTAGAACGGAGCCTTGTTGATACCTGGGCGCCTCAACAAGTGTTTCAGGCTTAGTTGCCAAGTCCTTTCCATGGTAAGAGGCTATGCCATGGTCGACCTCAAATCCTCACAAACAGCACTTTTTATGGAGCCAATTTTTAATACACCCCCCCCCCCAAAAAAACAAAACAACAATGAATGCGAACCTTCGACTGATGTTGGTGTGGCTGCCTTGGCACCCTCAGTCCCGAACTCTACAAGGTCAGACATCAATGATTCCCCCAAAGTGTTGACGACCCAAGCAATTCCCCTGGACCTATCTTTAGCCACCTGTCCATCTCTCGATGACGTAAATGCGAGCCTGGAGAGGCAGTCGAATCTTCTCCTCGACCTTCTAGAGGAAACCGGCTCCTTCCGCCTCAGTCAGGAGAGCATCCCAAATCAGCTCTGGGATGACTCTCTCTTGTCGGACGAGGATGACATTATGGAAACCACCGTTATTAGAACCACGGTGATAAGCACGGTAGAAACCATGATGTCTCCCCTGAAGCAAGGAGGGTCCCCTCGGCTGACTAAGGAGGCAAACCCTGGCGAGGTTGAAGACGTTGACTCAACCTCCACGGCCTGCAGTGACGTCGCGAGGCTTCTAAGGCAGTTGGCTGTCGAAGCAGATGCTGGCACCGATGAGGCTCCCATCGTTAAGATGGATGATTCATCGGTACCATTATCTGATAGACAAGCTGACGCTAAGGAGATCGCTGCCAAGAAAATGTATCGGAGAGCAGTAAATTTCTGCAAACGGTACATTGGACGGGACAGCGACTCCATCACGGGTAAGGAGTTCCTGTTAATCAAGAGGAACCTCAAACTCATTAGGAAGTTCTCTAGGAACTATCCTGATGACATTGAGAGGGACTTCTTGATTGACAGGATCCCCCGACCCAGTACTAAGACCACGGCGGTAGTCCCTTCTAAGAAGGAGAAACCTGCTGATGGCCCCGGTACATCCAGGAAGCTGATGCCTGAGACGTCTAAGCCCTCAGCACCCCCAAAGGGTAAACTGAGTACTGAGACGTCTCAGACATCAGAATCCACAAAGACAGAAGGCAGGGGACTGTCGAAGTCGGCCCGAAAGAGAGCCCGCAAAAAGGCCTCCAAGAAGACCGATAAGGCACAACCGCCCTCTGTCAATCCACCTTCTGCCGAATTGCCAAAGCTGACAGCCAAGGCGGTGACAATTGGGCAGTCGTCAGTGGTTAAGCAGAAGGTAGCGGACGCGAAGCAGGTGCCTGCGTCTGCTGGGCATACCTCTGTGGTAGCTGCTACCCCGGGTGCCAAATCTCGGCCACAGCCCACGGCTGTCAAGAGAATGAGGTCCTCGGAGGAGCAA